GGCAGTGCCACGCAAGCACGCACCCGGATTTCAAGAACCAGCAACTTAACCTCCTGTCGCCCTCCCTCGACCGACTGGTGACCAACACGGCTTTCGGAAGCGTGCTGACGGCCGTGGGAGATGCTGCCGTTGCGTTCCAGCCGCTCATGGCTTCCAGTGTGACGCAGCTGTGGCAACTGGACTCGTCTCAACTGCTTCGGTCGACGGGGGCCACCAGCAAGTGCGTGGATGCGTACGAGCCTGAGAATGGCGGAACCGTGCATTTGTGGGACTGTAGTGCTACCAACGTCAACCAGCTGTGGACGTACGACTCAACCACAAAGCAACTCCGACACAAGACACACGTGGACTACTGCCTTGACATCGGTAGCCCCACTGGCGAGGCACCGCATCTGTGGACGTGCTTGCCTACGACCCACGCAGACGTGAAGAACCAAGTGTTTGTGTTTTAGGCACATGCTATTACAGTATTATTACATACTACTCTGAGCTTTATTATGACGCAGTTCCCAGTAAGGTTAGAAAGAGCATGAGCTAATCAAAATCGATTTACCACCTCTTTTTTAACGATTTAGAAAAATACGTAAAGGACCTCTTTTTCAACTTTTGGAATAGTGAGTTGGATAAAAAATCGCAGAAAATGAGTAAAAAAAGGGAAACTGTTTTACGAATTTGCTACATACATTTTCCAATTCTGTGCGATTTTTAAAACCGATCACAAATCTCGCCGCGATATTTGATTGGATTTCCCCATTCCGGAAGTAAAAAGAAAAAACAAGGTAGCCAATGAGGAGGTTGCGGGAAAATATCAACTGGTAACATGTAAAGTCAATTTCGAAATTAACTGTATAAAATGATAGATCTATAGACTTTCAGCAGGTGCGAAATGTGATTAGTTTACACACTTTGTACTTCATTCGATTTTAGCATGTCTGACGTTGGAAGTTTAAATAATTCACATTTATTAAATAGCAAGTTTGAATAGTAAAATCCTGTCACATCAATCCAACACCATCCATTAGTGGAAAAAAGTCGGACTGTATATGGCATATCCGAGTTATCGTCGGAAGTCCGGTCCGACTTTTTCGTTTAATGAATATTAAACTTTATACTGAAGTCAAGTTTATCCAAGCAAAGAAAAATGGAAGGAAAAAAGTCGGATCGAAGATCCTGTACCCAATGATTGGCATATATTGCTCCAACATGGCAGAAACGACGTCGAATGACTCTTTGTTGCCCACTACAACTCGACAACTGTCAACAACAGTTCAGGACCTTCGCGGCAATCGACTTGCAATGAGCTCCAAGCGAAGCTACCGTAGCGGTGTCAAGCAACTTGGCACCTGGCTTCAGTCGTCTGGACGGTCGTCCATGGTAAACGCAGATGGCACAATCAACCTTTTTTGCAGTTTTTTCCTACAACGACTTCACCGAGTTTATTCTCTACAAGTACAAGCATGCTGGAGTGTCCTTATCAACTCTCTCATCCTACCGGTCGGCAATCAAGGACTACTACAACTCACAGAACGTGCCACTTCCCACAGAGTTCGCAACAGACGCTACTGTCATATACCAAGGTACATTGCCCACTGTATAGTTCTGGAGTACCAAACCTCAAACAGGGATTCGACAGCTTTGCGCAACTGAGACCCAAGCCGGGGCCATCAAGCCAAGTGGGAAAGAGCCTCTTCGATTCCACCAATACCAAGTTTTGTGCAAGCACAGCCTTACAAAAATGGACGCTGGTTTCACTCATCTCTATCTTGTCCTCTCATGGAGCCTTATGTGCCGCTCAAGGTCCACTGAGTCTGTGCGAATTGACCACTTTTCCGACGAAGGTGACGCAATTGGAGTGAAATTTTTCAAGTCCAAGACTGATCAAGGTGGGACAAAACGTCGTGATCCGAAGCACGTGTATGCAAACCCCATGCGTCCTGAAACTTGTTGCATCCTTGCCTGCAACGCTCAGCACGACTCTGGGAATCTGTTCCCTGGGAAGTCGCAGCGTGATCACTTTGGGCAAAGTCTGTGTCAGCTTGTTGGTGTCGCACTTCCGGCTGCTTCCAGCTCTGTTGGCACTCATTTGCTTCGCAAGGGTGCCGCAACCTACGCAATTGGTGGAAGCACATCGGGTCCTTCCATTGTCCATGTCTGCATACGGTGTGGTTGGTCCATTGGCAGCGTGGTAGAACGATACGTTCATTACGACGGTGCCGGGGACCAATACGTTGGTCGAGTCGTCGCTGGTCTTCCACTGGAACCTGGAGGCTTTGCAGTTCTCCCTCCTCACTTTGTAGCTGGCAGTGAACCCATGGTTGCCAACGCTGGTGCTGTGGTTTTTCCAAGGTTGTGGGTCCACGAAGCGCTCCGTGGCGTGTTGAAGCTCTGCCTGGCCTCACTGGTCTACCACAAAGAATTCTTGGAGGCCTCTTTGCCACCCAAGCATCAACTTCTTGCGTCTGTACTGTTTGGAGACTTCCACACCTTGGGTTTCACGGTGACTCTTGCCTCCAACATTTTGCAGCCCACCGGAATCCCTCCACAGGTCGGTCTCCACGCCCAGCTGGAGCAAACGTCGGTCCTTGTGCGTACGCTCCCAACTGAAATCTGTGAAGGCATCGAGAAGATCCTTGAAGACAAAGGTGTGACCGCCGGCAACATCACTCAGTCGTTGCTTGAAAAGCTTTTGAAGGACGCAGTGGCCTCCGTCGTGTCGTTGACATTAGCGAGCAGTTCTACCACGGTCGAAGTCACAGACGAATCGATACCAACCCGCCCTGTTCATTACTGGGGGGGGTGATGGCACAACCTTCCTGAAGGTTTTGAGATGCCATCGGCCGATGTTGCAACTGCATGGCATGTTTGGTGGTGTGGCTCACCGACACGCGGTTTGCCCCGCTTTACAAGCTAAGTTCCCGCGACATGTCAAAGAAGCAAGCCAAGATCCTGTGTGAGTGGAGTTTTGCGATTGATGAGCTGCAGAAAGTCTATTTCAGCGCAGCCGGAAGAGAACTGGGTCATCCAATCAATTCTGCCTCAGTCATATCTGCCTTCAGCACCAGCATGACTGCCTTGCCTTCGTCGTGGGGACAGACTCAACTGGGACGACAGCGTCGGTTGTCTCAGTTGAAGATGGTCACGTTTGCGCGCCTAGCTAGAAAGCGTAGACGAGAGTCGTAGGTATCTAAATCGAATTCATGTGTGCATCATTGCTTCGTGTCAGGTTGTGTCCAAGATTCATTCGAT